GATTTGCAATTGAATTCAAAAATTTTAAAAAAGTCCATCTTTCAGTTTACATGCTTTGCCTTTGCAAAGCAATAATGACCTTCTATGTCACATAGCAAAAATCTTCTGCCACATTTCATATACTTTTCTACTGTTGACTTTCTGTCAGATAAAACCAGTCCAGCAATTCTTTACTGATCTCTGTTCTCAAAAAAACATTTTTGAACAAAGCAGTCACATTGATTTCACTTATATTTTTCATTTCCAGACCATTCTCTGTAAACCGTAGATATATTTGTACATGAAAATTTACAACATATCAGCAGTTTGGAAAACACAAACCAGCTTGTCACATTTAAGCAATTTAAGTCAGATTTCCTATTATAGTGCTTGGATTTCCACATAAGCTCATTAGATTTCATTTATATGACTTGTGTAATGTGAAGAATTAGTGTACACTAAAAGAAAGTTCCTGTTTTACAGTGCTGTGCAGAAATCTTGGGTAATTTCTAATTGTTTTATTATGATAGGGAATCCTATCATAATAAACAAGCACAGTATATTAGATGAAAACACTATGTACAGTTCAAATGAGCATAAAAGTCAGTATTTGGAACGACCACTTTTATTCTTCACCACATCCTAAACTCACTTAGGCAGACTTTCTTGTAATTTCTCTAAATATTTTTCAGGATAGGTCTTCAGGACATTCCAGAGCTCTTATCTGGATGTTGTCTGCTTTTTGTTACATTCTCTGTCAAGACGTCTCCAAAATGTTTCAATAATGTCGAACTCCAGCCTGTGGGCACGCCAGGTCATGACTGATAGTATTCCATTGTGTATTTGATATCCAGGTATGAGTTTACTGCACTGGCAGTGTGTTTGGGGTCATGCTGAAGAACAAAACTGTTGCAATTCTGATTCTGTTCAGATGGTATTCCAAACAGACCAAACAGAAGTTACATGACTTACTCTTAATAGTTTATTTTTTGAAGCTGAACTTTCTCTATGCTGCAGAGTGTATGTTGTATGTCTGTTACATGTTCATAAATACAGAAACTACTGGAATCTGTCTGCTCAGGTGTGTTTAGTGTGCATGACCATATCAGGAAAACAGAGCCTGAGCTTCTACAAGCTGACGTCATGCGCTGAAAGTAGACTCGTCTAGGTGAATGTTCAGTTGCTGTAACTACCCTCAGGAAACAAGATCATTGGTTATTGTGCTCTGCCTTCACTGAGAGAAAGACATGGGGAGCATTTGGTTTGTAATTTGGTGCATTTTAACAGTTTTTCAGGTAAGAATTATATATCTTACATATTTATATATTAAATCATATTACATATTTTGCATTTTCAAAATCATTTTAATACTGAATATTAGTTCAAATGTTCTACAAGACATTTTTTTACTATTTCTTTTACTATTTTTAAAAATTGAGGATAAAATTGAGTTTTTGTTTATAGATGACAGTGACAGCACAACTCTGCTGCATCACCTCTTCTAACAACACTCTTTTCTATGTTTAATGGGACCAGTTGCTACAGTTTCAGAAGCCTTTATTTTTTCTATACGGTACTGATAAAGATTTTAGATTCTTAATAGTTTGTGATGTCCTTTGCTATGTTTCTCATTTCATTTCCAGTTCTGCTGAATTGAATTTTTCTTGAATTCAAGTGACTGAAAGGTCTAGCCTGCAGACACTTCTTGCTCTTATGAAACCATGCTGTTGGATTGCATGCAGAAAAAGATTTGGCATAGTCTTGCTGAAATACGTAAAGCATTCTCTGAAAAATCACTGTGGAGGTGTGTTACAGTTGAGTTCAAGTGTAAGATGGGGTTCAGCTGCACGACAAGCAGTGCACTCTGTCACATTTTTAACCCAAAGAATCCACGATTTCCAAATTGAATTTGAAATTTTGGTTGGTTAGGTAACAGGACAGAATATCAGATATAGATCCGATATAGATAGAGCTGGGTGTCATCTGCATAGCAGTGAAAATGTATGCTTCGATGTCTTCGATGATACTGCCTTAGGGAAACATGTGTGCGCTGAACCCTGTGGAACTCCATAATTAACCTCAGTGTGTGAAGAGGACTCTCCATTTACATGCACAAATTGGAGTCTATTAGATAGATATGATACAAACCACTGCAGCACAGTACCTGTAATACCTACAGCATGTTCTAATCACTCTAATAGGATATTATGGTCGACAGTATCGAACGCTCCACTGAGGTCTAGCAGGACAAGCACAGAGATGAGTCCACTGTCAGAGGCCAAGAGAAGATCATTTGTAACCTTCACTAAAGCTGTTTCTGTGCTGTGATGAGCTCTGAAACCTGACTGAACGATCAATTGGACAAAAAGACTAAATAAGTATCAAAGTATCAGTTGTACGTGTTTGAGAGTTATACCAGGGATTCAAGTACTTCTGATTTGAGGCCTTATTTTTCACAGGAGCTACAGTATCCAGAGTCATACTTAGAAGAGTTAAAATTATTAACAAGGTAATCAACCTCTGTTGGAGTAGTGTTCAGGAAGCTGTTCTGTTCTGTGTTGGTAAAAAGGTATAGAGGAAGATAACAATGGATGTTCCCCACCGCTGTGTAATCAATTATTGTAAATGTAAATGTTATCAGGAAATGATCAGACAGCAGAGGGTTTTCAGGAAACACTGTTAAATGTTCAGTTTCTATGCCATATGTTAAAACAAGATCTAGAGTGTGATTAAAGTGGTGGGTGAGTTCTTTTACATTTTGACAGAAGCCAATTGAGTCTAACAACAGATTAAATGCCATGTTGAGGCTGTCATTTTTAGCATCTACATGGGTGTTAAAATCACCCACAATAATTATTTTATCTGAGCTCAGAACTAAATCAGATAAAAAGTCTGAGCAAACAGACAGAAACTCTGTAAGACCCAGGTGGACGATAACAAATATAAGGGATAGATAACAAATAAGACTGATTTTGTCATGGTCCTGGGTCGTTTTGTGTTTGGTATTATTCATGTCCCTGAGCTTGTGTTTGTGAAGTTTCTGTTTTACTTTGAAAGGTCCTGTCTCATGTTAGTTTATTCTGTTTTACTTCCTTGTCTTGTCTAATTAGGTGCAGCTGTGTTCCCCTCTGCTATGTCATTCCCTCGTTACCTTGTCTGTATTTATAGTCAGGGGTGCACATAAGTTGTATGGGAGTATGCGCCACATTCTGCGCCACATTCTGTGCGCGCAATCATTTGTTTGAAGCCAGCTCGCCTTCTGCAACCACTTTTGTAGGAATACGCGCTTCTTTTGCGGTTTGGACTCCTGACATTTCTTTGGAGGTGGAGGAACATCACAGTAATTGCTTAAAGGAGCTTGCTTCTTCAGCGTCTTTAAGAGTTCTAAACAAATGTCTATCCTCCTCCAGAAAATCTTATGTACGCAAACACGCGTTTCAACTTCTTATCTGGTGCACCTCTTTTATTTTGACAGCGCACGCGCACCTGCGGACCGCTTATGTGCAGCCCTGTTTATAGTGTGTGCCTGCCTGTGTTCCTTGTCACCTGGTCTGTGTAACCTGGTGAAATTTCTGCATCTCTCTGCCCAACATTCTCTGTGACATTTCCGATCTTTGTCCAGAGGTTGTATGGTTTTAGGTTTGTGTGTTTGTGTTGTCTAGTTTTTCCCCAGTTTAGGCTATGTTTTAGTTCTGTCCTTGTCATCCTCGCTTTTGTTGTTTTTCACCTCATGTAATAAAGAGCTCACTTGCATCACAGCCAATGCCTGCATTTTGGGTCCTCATTCTCACATCACCACACGGCTGACTGAAACACGTTGCTACTAAACATCCTGCGCCCTGTGCCTACACCAGGGAAGTCCTACTTATAAACACTTTTTTCTTATTTTGCTGGGAACCAGAAAGTAACCGCACTGATAAGTTGTTTTTTTTTCTTGCTTGGTGATACTTTTGAAAACTCTGTAATGTCTCTGATGATCTACCTACAACTGCATGCACAAGTAATTGTTTAAAGGAATCTGAATCATTCGTGGCAACCATTAAAATGCTGTTTCTTCTGTCCTAGCCTCCAAATTTAGTGACTGCTGAGGAGCCAGTATGTGTACCTGGGTTTCAGTCAGATCAGCTCACTTTCAGTGTGACGAGAAACTACCTGACAAGAGGCACAGTACTGGGCAAAGGTAATAACAGAAATGGTTGTATATTGGTTAGTAGTGGTTTAAAGTTGCAGTTAGTAGGGATTTGTTTCTGAGAGGCCATCAACAGGTTAAAAGCAAACAGCACATTTCAAATAGCTGAGAATTTCAGGGATGAAATTTCTTAATCAAACACATTTTTCACAAGTGAGAAAACTATTGCACCTGGAGCTGCTGGGTTTGTACCACAAGACCATCTTGCTGTGAGCCAAAGTATTAACCACTACGTCACCATACCAAAAATATATTAATCAAAATGTTTGTTTGTCATGCACAGCTACAATGATGACAAAACATCTCACATCACATGTGCACATTTCACCACACCTGAAGCTGAAGTTGGTTTCAAAGCAGCTTGCAGATATGTAGGAGGTGTAATAAGACTAGACCAGTTAACATACTTATAGAGTAGCCGAAGTAATACCAGGCATGATATCAACTAATACCAATTTTTCTGCAGCTTTGATACATGAGTCTTCATAGAGCTTCAAAACATAGGATATTTCTTAACTTCTATTTGATTTAACAACAGTTTTTATTACTTTGTTCTTATGCATTTAAGACGTGCCACTTATTTTTCTTTCTCTTCATGAACTCCAGTAATTAAACAATAACTATTCTCTCTCTGTTCTCAGTGGGCTTCACTGACTGCACAGATCGCACAAGATTTCTGTTCGACACCTCTGACAAACGTTTTGTAGTAAAGACAGACGGTGTACTGATGGTGAGTGCAGATTCAAAGACTTGCTTGGTACTGTTTTTGTGGGTAAACAGAACGTAGTAAACATTTGAATGTACTGCAACAAATATCTCTGACAATGTTAGATTAATTAGTGTTTGTGGGATTTTTTGCTGAAAAGAACTGAGCGTTTCCAGCTCTGAGGATATTTTAGCTTTTGCTGACATGAAAGCTGAAATGTTGCAACATATTTAAAGAGGAGCAAAAGTTTCTTCGACGACTGAGCACTGTATCATAGACTGCTAACGGACATCACTGAATTTTACTTTGACAAATTCTGAATGTTTTTTACATGTTAGCTTCTTTAAAAATCTATAAAAAATGTTTTCTTTCAGGTAAAGAGAGCAGTTTATCTTCATGAAGGACACCATGACTTCTTCATCCACTCCTGGGACTCACAAGGCCTGAAACTGACCATTCCTGTCAGTGTGAGCATGGTGAGCATCACTATATTAAAGTGGGCTCAGCAGTCAGCTAAGAGACAAAAGAAAACCAATTTTTCCTTCTTCTCGAAATAATTTTTTTTAAGGAAAATATCCCGCTTACATCGTACTGTTATTCACTTAGAGCATGAAACCTCAAGTACCTTTTTAATGACTTTGAATACGAAACTAAGGCTCTGGACACAAAGAGCTGTTTCTCTTTAACACTGTGTGGCTGCACATGTAAGGGTCGGTTACATTTAGTTAGTGGGTTACAGAGCTACTCTTGTTGTTACAGCCACCTTTGACAGTCAACATAATCCTAGTACATCGAATGTATCTCATCCTCCTCATTGCACTTGATCCATTTCTGGAAGTGTTCTTCTATAAAATGTCTGCTTGTTTTCCCAGAATGCAGCTGATGCTCAGGTGCCTGTTCTGCAGTTTCCCAAGCCAGGTGAAGGGCTGAGGAGGAGGAAGAGAGACTGGGTTATTCCTCCACTCAGTGTTACTGAGAATAAGAGAGGAACCTATCCCCTGAACGTAGCTCAGGTAAGGGGACCTCAATTATCTTGTGGCAAAACATTTATTCTAAAGTGTATTTCAATTTGTTGTTTTCGCCACAGGATCTTTTCCATTTGGCTTTCTTTACAGT